TGTTTGGGCCAAAAATGCACATTAAAAAAAATTGGCAGTTAATGAGTTAAGCACGGCGGTGAGAACATTCTGCACTGGAGATGTTTTGCTGCTTCTGGACCAGGAGAATTAGTGAGAGTGCAGGGTATCGTGGATAAAGGGCAGTATTAAGGCTATTTTTAAAAATAATATACATCAAAGTGTTCGAAAACTGTTTTGGGGCTATCGCTGGTCGTTCCAAAATGACAATTACACAAAACACACGACACGAATTGCTACGAAATACTTAAATGATAACAAAATTAAGGTATTGGCGTACCCCGCACAAAATCCTTGAAAATTTATGAGCATATTTGAACAAAAAGTTAGAGAAAAAGCTTATCGAGTTTGGAAGAACTAGAAGCTATTACCAAGGAAGAATGAAGTAAAATACCTATCAGTGTGTGTAGTTATCATTGTAAGGAACTATAAAAAATGATTAAAAGCAATAATTAAGAATAAAGGTTACATAATTTATTATTGAAGCAAAAGAGCCAATAATTTTGTCTTATGTTAAATGTTTTTTGTTGGTTTTTGTATTATTGTTTGACATTAAAATAAAAGTTTGTTGTAGTCGTCACTGCAGATTCCTTCAACTGCATTATTTCATTATTTGTGAAAAAATGCGTATGAAATTTCCACGAAAATTTGAGGTATTACAGCTTTATTCGTATTTATGGAAGGGTGTGAATAAATCTGTCCAGAACTGTATATTTAGATGAAAGCATTTGAAGAATTTGTTTTGGAAGCAACGTGAGGCGGTGCTAAAGAGTAAATCCGGAAATAAAAGCAGTTTATTTTGGTTCACAGCCATAGACGCATGTAAGCCAGAAGATAGTTTGACGGAAGTCCAAAAGCTTCTTTTTATTCTTGTGGGTGACAAATTATTTTCCAGTCTACAACATCTCTCTCATAGACGAGATGTAGCAAGCCTCTCGTTGCTCTATCGCCACTTTAATGGAAAGTTCTCAGACGCACTACATTCCTTAGTTCCATCAGTTCTAACCTTCACGGCTAGGACCCACCAGGCGACGCACATTGTATCGAGCCACCGTCATTCTCTCCGTATTCCATTGGTGAGATGTAAATTCCACTCGAGTAGATTATTTACATTATTCGGACTATTTTCCTCATCTTTGTCGCCATATTTATTACAACGTTTCGGCCGTTGTACGCTTCGGTCTTCTTTAGGTGGTTGGAATGTCGAACTGAGCCCTTTATTTCGCTCACTGTGGTAGACTGTTCTAGTTCCACGTCACATATCTGTTATCAGTTATCTCCTGTTAATTCCCCACTACAAGTTCTCCACTGCCTTAACCAGGCATTGAACTCACAACTCTTTGGGTCCTGTCATTGGATCTAATTAACGCCTTTATCCATTGTGCCATGTGTCTTTGAGGACGTTGTAATAAATATGGCGACGAAGATGAGGACAATAGTCCGAATAATGTAAATAGTGTACATAATACCTCATCTCAGAAATATAGACAGATACTGAAAGGCCGAAATGTTGTAATAAATATGGTGACAAAGATGAGGACAATAGTCCGAACAATGTAAATAGTGTACATAATACCTCATCTCAGAAATATAGACAGATACTGAAAGGCCAAAATGTTGTAATAAATATGGCGACAAAGATGAGGACAATAGTCCGAATAATGTAAATAGTATACATTATACCTCATCTCAGAAATATAGACAGATACTGAAAGGCCAAAATGTTGTAATAAATATGGCGACAAAGATGAGGACAATAGTCCGAATAATGTAAATAGTATAAATTATACCTCATCTCAGAAATATAGACAGTTACTGAAAGGCCGAAATTTTGTAATAAATATGGGGACAAAGATGAGGACAATAGTCCGAATAATGTAAATAGTATACATTATACCTCATCTCAGAAATATATACAGATACTGAAAGGCCGAAATGTTGTGATAAATATGGGGACAAAGATGAGGACAATAGTCCGAATAATGTAAATAGTATACATTATACCTCATCTCAGAAATATAGACAGTTACTGAAAGGCCGAAATGTTGTAATAAATATGGGGACAAAGATGAGGACAATAGTCCGAATAATGTAAATAGTGTACATAATACCTCATCTCAGAAATATAGACAGCCACTCGAGTGGCTTCAACCCGCGAAAGAACTGTTCTGTGAAACTGAGTTCCAAAAGAATGTTTTCCCGATTACTACTATCTTAACTTGCTCAAGTCTAGGATTAACCGTTATCTTCCTCATATATCCGTATAAACCGTGTCTCTTACTCTGTAACACTCTACATCGAGTTGCCACTGGGCCTTGTACAGAATAAGCCTCACTGTAAAAAAAAAAAAAATTTCTTTTTTTGTTTCCAAATTTATGATTTTATTTCTCAGCCAAGGATAGGGGTTTCCCAGACTGAGAGGGAGAAGAATCTATCATATCAATGTTTTATTCCAAAATCAGTAAAATTGTGTCTATGTATGCGTTCTTGTCTATGCATTAAATAGCACAAGCAAATTGAAGTCACTCAGGTTCAACACATGCATTAGCATATACATTACATATACTTTGCGTATGTAAAGTCATATTCACACATTGATTAACAGACAGAGAATCACCGCTTTGTTTATAATATATTTTGTACCCAAGACAGCAAGTTGTCTTTCGCGATACTAATTGAATTTATCAACAGACTGTCGAGTTACTTATAAATATTTGAAAAGTCCAAGAAGGTGCCTAAAAGTAATCACTCTGACAAAAAGCCTTTTCCCATATCCAACAATTTATAATATTTGATAATATTTTGCAAAGTGGGTTAGGCTAAGGAGTTTTCGGCACCCACTCGTAAATGGTTTTAAAAAAGATTCATTCGCTTCTTAATATAAGCACCTGTCGTTGACAATGTGAATAATCAATGAAATATGAACAATACTAAATTGACTCCAGCCATTCCTCAATTAACGACTGGGTTCCGTTCCAACGACATGGTCTAATGTGAGTAAATGGAATCGAGTTTGTTCTTCGAGTTGCTGTTCATTTTAGTTATTACTACTGTTGAAAGTCCTCAAGCGATATGGCTTTGTCATTTCGTACAGAACTTTATGATTCTGTAGCGTCAGTCCACGAGATTCGAAGAATAATAGTCCTCACTAAGAGTTACATACTTTATTCACTGAAAGCCATTTTAAATAATTAATCTGAAAAAAGTTGTTGATAGTTTAGATATTTCTGGGCGGGTTTGACGCCAGACATGACATCCATATGAAAGCCTCGATAAGACGAGACTATTTAAAATCATGACTTGTCTTTTCAGGTTAATAGTATTTTATCGTAGTTTTAACAGAGAAATCGATTAAAATTGGAGAAATTCTACTTTGCATCTAATTTTTATCGCATGTGAAAAAGAAAAAAAAAATCATAACAGAAGATGTTATTAGACACAGAACAAAACATTACTATAAACAAGCACTTTCTTGCAAATATAAATACAGTAATAACGTATGTTATGTGTGGTGTAATGTAATGGACAACGGCCCAGAATGAGAAATCGGAGAGGCGAGTTCGAATTCCTGTCGGGTTCGTTACATTCACTTACGTACAAATACTCTTGAAGAAAGGGATAAATCCATCTACCCACCAGATATGGGTTTAACAGCAAGCAGACTGTGCCCTTTAGCCTTGGATGGCAATTAGTCTAGCCCAACCCACTGCAGGAAAATCGTATGTCGAGTTAATCCTGTATCGATAGAGACATGATCAGCCAAGCGTGTTCCTGTATTTCATTAAACTGCCTTTTTCTCTTCTTCCCTCTGTTATGATTTGAACAGTAGGACAGACTGGGCACTATAGCTTCGGTAGGCAATCACTCTACCGCAGAAAGAAATGGCAATCTATTGCAGGGAAAGAGACGTGATCAACAAGCGTGTATCCCGTATGGCCCTAACTGACTGATTGAATAACTGCCCGCGTACAGAAACAGAAGGACTGCAGAAAGCACAGAAAATAAAAAAGGTGTAGAAGACAAGAATGAGTCGTCTCACCAGGTTTATTCAACATTTACAGCGAGGAGGTCCTGACAAAAGTCGATGTAATACCAGCATTTATTATTAGTGATAGGATGAGATGACACAGTGTTGATGGCAGACACAGAAAGGAGATTGCAGACTCTCCTCCAGAAGGTAGTAAAGGAAAGTGAGAAGAAAAGAATAAACAACAATTGTAAGACAAAATATGTGGTTGCCAGCAAAGATATGAACTAGAAGACGAAATATGCCTTCCAAAAGCTAAGCAAAGTAAAAAAAGAATCAAGGAAATTTCATTAGAAACAACAAAAAAGAAAAAAAAAAAAAGAAAAAAAAGAAATGAAAAGAGTACTGAACAACTTTATATCACTCCTCAGTGAATGTTGGAGAATCTTCTCACAAATGAAGAAGAGTTTGGAAGCAACAAAAATGTGGTTCTACAGACGGATGCTGAGAATACCATGGACTGAACACGGGAGTAATGAGTAAGTTTTAAAGAAATTGGAAACAATAAATGAAGCATTACAATCAGAGACAGATGAAATTTCGTGGACATATATTGAGGAAAGAAGGCTTAGAGAATTTGACCCTCACACGACATACTGAGAGAAAAAGCGAGTAGCCTATCCAACAAGCAAAGAAAAGACAAACCTGACTAAGAGCTACAAAGGATATGTAGTTGTAGAGTTGATCGCCCACGTCCTGAAAGGACACACATATAGAAGAAACGGTTCTTCAGAATTTTATAACCATCGTAGCTGTTAGCAATGTTTGTGTTCTTTATTTGCCCTACATTTTATGTCCTCCATTTTCACAAGCTCGTTATATAGGTTACTCGCTGCTTTCCTCTGCTCCTCCTGCTTTCAATATGTTTCTTTTTATTATTCAACACAGAACATTTCAAATGTCTCATTCTATGTAGATATATACGCATGTAAAATATATATTTACAAAGATTCCTTCACTGATATAATTCGGATAGTGTGCATACATAAATAGATTTATAGAAGAAAGAAGGAATCACGAGAGATGTCATAAAAGAAAACGGTAAAAGAAAAGTATAAAAAAAAAATGGCAGAATTAAAAGAGAGACAGAAGACATGGGGATGTGAAAGGAGATGTGAAGAAAAAAAAAAGCGAAAGAAAGAAAGAGGCACAGGAGATGCGATAAAAGAAAGAAGTAAATGAAAATAGCAGAAGTAAAAGGGAGGCAAAAGATGGAGAAGAGAAAGGAGATGATATCAGAAAAAGAAAGAAAGAAAGAAATAAAGAAAGAGGCATAGGAGATGCTATAAAAGAAAACAATAAAAGAAATGTATAAAAAGAAAATGACAGAAGAAAAAGAGAGACAAAAAATAGAAATGAGATCAAAAGAAGAAAGAAAGACAGAAAGAAAGAAAGAGGAAAAGAAAGAAAGGAATAAATAAAAAAGAAAGAAAGAAGGATAGGAGATTCTATAAAAGAAAAAAATAAAAGAAAAGTATAAAAAGAAAATGGCGGAAGTAAAAGAGAGACAAAAGATAGAGGGAGTGAAAGGAGACGAGAAGAAAGAAAGAAAGAAAGAAAGAAAGAAAGAAAGAAAGAAAGAAAGAAGGAAAGAAAGAAAGAAAGAAATAAGAAAGATGGGACATGTGATAAAAGAAAACAGTAAAAGATAACTACGAAAAGAAAATGGCAGATGTTAAAGAGGGATAAATGATTGAGTGGAGGGGAAGGAATGGATACGAGAAGAAAGAATGAAGGAAAAGAAGAAAAAAGATGGAAAATTAGAAAATGGTATTAGATTTTAAGAAACATACAGTTATTACTAATATTTATTTTACTGATGTTACTATAAGGCGAAGCCAGTGATTGCTTCAGAAGTAAAGAAAGAAAGAAAAAAAGAAAGAAAGAAAAAAAGAAAGAAATGAGGAAAAGAGAAAGAAAGAAACATGAAAGATTGGACAAAAGTAAACATTCATAAAAAACTGAAAGGAAAATGGCTGATGTAAAAAGAGAAAAAGTGTGAACGGGAGAAAATATATAAATAAATAAAAATAAAAAGGACCATTAAAGGAAAGAAAGAAAGATGTATAGAAACCTGTAAAAACATGTATTACTTCTATATATAGGAAAAAGAATATGTATTACTTCTCTCTCTCTATACTAAAGTAAGACGCTTGTACCCATTTCTAAATAGCCAAACATACTTTGCGTATCACCTTTAAGTAAATGCCTGGATGATTTACATTAAGCAAATTCTCCTTGGAGGCAGATAACTTTATCAAGTCAAACAGATTCTGTCCGGAATAGCTTCAAGTCTTCCACTACCAGAATTTTTTTCTAATTTAAAACTTTCTTTCTAAATTCATCAATTTGATTAACTTATCTGTGCTGTTGAAAAAAAAAGTTTTATCTAAATTTATTTACGAGTGTCGGATTAGTTTTATTTTGTTATTGTTGTTTATAATCTAATTGCATTAATGTGCATACATACGGTCACGTACACACAAACACAGACAGATGCACAAACACATATACCAGTTCCCACACTTACATAAATGAGATATTGGGCTTCTTCTAGTTAACGCCATGATTCTTTAATAAGGCGATTCAGGTTCAAGAATAATTAAAGGCGCCAAAACAGCTGGTTAACATTTTAATAAAGCAGTTTGTGATTTGTAATATCAATAAAATGAACGTTAAAAATAGTTGCATATTTCTACACAATATTGCCTTTCTTTCTTTCTTTCTTTCTTTCTTTCTTTCTTTCATTTTTTCTTTCATTCTTTCTTTCTTTCTTCCCATCTCCTCATCCCCCTTTCACTCATTTTGTCTCTTTTTTTTTTTTTTTTTTTTTTACTTCTGCCATTTTCTTATTCTATTGGGTTTTCTTTCTTTCTTTTAGATCTGCCATTTTCTTTACTTCGTTTTTGTTTTACTGTTTTTTATACCATTGTTCATGCTTCTTTCTTTCTTTCTTTCTTTTTTTCTTTCTTTTTTTTTTTTTCTTTATTTCTTTCTTCTGATTCTTTTTTTCTCTCTTTTATATTTGCCACTTTCTTTTTAGTTTTCTTCTATTGTTTTCATTTGTCCCATCTTTCATACTTTTTCTTTTTTTTTCTCATCTCCTTCCTCCTTGTTTTTTTTTTGTCTCTCATTTAGTTCTGCTACTTTCATTTTATTGTCTTCTTTTACTGTTTTATTTTGTCATCTTTGTTTCTTTGTTTCTCTCTCTCTCTCTCTCTCTCTCTCTCTCTCTCTTTGTCTCTCTTCTGTCCTTCTCTTTTCACAATCTGTCTTTTATCTTTCACTATTTATTTTATCAATCTTTCATGTTTCTTTGTTTTCCTTCTTTACTCTTTTTTCCCCAAACCGTTTTCATTCCTCGTTTTCTGTTTCTTTCTATCCTTTACATTGTTCATTTCCCTTGTATTAAGACTCCCCCCTGAATAACTCGGGCCAGAGATTCGTGTCAGAGCGGCCAATCGGAGACCGGCTGCAAACAACACAACCACGTTGCCAAATGGGCGATCGCCATGGCTTCATAGTCAATGGCAGACGACTGCCGGCAATGGCTCCAGCTCAGGACTTTAACAAAAGGAATGGGACTTTAATGTAAACATCATCACCATCTTCATATACATTATTGGCAGCAAGAATATATAGAATATTGATAATTTGGAAGGACTAAAACAAGAAAATATTGAAATTATTACGAGAAAGAATCATTATAAGAAAGGATGAACAAATTGTAATGAGGGATTATGAAACGCTTGCGACATCTTAGTCAGTCTTATCTCGCCTCTTTGTGTGTAAGTTGTATGATTTTTCAGTTATAAAAGATATCGAAGTGTTTGACAAATAGCTCCAGAAACAAAACTTGTTAATACAAAATTGAACTATTAGCCCGCTGTCAAAATTCCCAACACTGTTAACAGTAGAACTGATATTACTGCAACAATAGCAACAGCAGTAGTAACAACAATATCAGCAACAAGATCTACGCGTCTCTTCCTTCCTTAGATTATATATACACTACATCCTGCCAATACTTCCTAAATAATGGACTAATCCATTTTCATCATGTGGAAAGACTGAAAGATATATCAGAGACGCTACATGGTTCGATGAGACAATAAGAAAAAAAGAAAGAAGGGAAGAAAGAAGTGCTTTGCTTAATTATTTTTTGTCATCATCTCATAAATAATGAAATAATGTTCCGTTTTGACTACGTGGAAAGACGAAAAAGACATATCAGAGACGCTACTTGGTTTTAGTGAGAAAACGTGAAAAATCAAAGAAAGAAGAGAAGAAAGAAGTGCTTAATGTTTCCTATCAGCGCCTCATAAATAATGGACTTTTCCGTTTTGATCGCGTGGAAAAACGGAAAAGACAAACCAGAGACGCTACTTGGTTTCAGTGAAAAAATGAAAGAAGGAAAAAAGAAGGGAAGAGAGAAGTGTAAATAGAAGTGTTTAACCTCTCCTGCCAATATCTTATAAATAATGATCTATTCTGCTTTAACAGCGTGGAAAAAAGGGGAAAAGACATTGCTTGGTTTCAGTGAAATAATGAAAGTAAGAGAAAATGGAAGATAGAAATGTTTAACGTTTGTTTAAGTGAAATGGAAAAAAAGGTGCCAATTTCAATTTTCACTGGATCTAATACATTTATCTACGAAAGATATGGATAAAGATCCAGTGACAGGACCCAAAGTGTGTGAGTTCAATACCTGGTTAAGGCGGTGGAGAACTTGGAGAGGGGAATTGACAGAAGATAACTGATATCCATTAAACATGGCACATGGAACTAGAACAGTTTACCCCAGCGAGCGAAATAAAGAGTTCAGTTACATATTCCAACCACCTGAAGAAGGCCGGAGAGTACAACGGCCGAAACGTTGTGATAAATATGGCAACAAAGATGAGGATGATAGTCCGAACAATGTAAATAGTCTTATTGAGAACTTTATAATCAAGCAGGATTTTATCTGCCTTAGAAGCACACTTTACTCGTTCAGATTTCTTCGACAGTCCTAACTGCTCAGTTTCGTATCCGAAACGTAAACAAAGCAATTTCTAAAGAACTAATGGATTTTTTAATTCATTATTAGTCTGACATATTTTTATCACTTTAAACGTTAAATTTAGTAGATGCCCATATTTGGGTAGCTGCGCCGTTTATCTTAAAAACTATTTACCGTCTGAATATTCGAGAAATTTTATTAAAGAAAAATGCGCCTTTAGGCAAGATTTACGCTTTTGTACTTCTTTGCATGAGAAACGTTTGTTTGAACCGACTTGCTGTTGACCACTCGGCTACGAAGAGCTTTATAATCAAGCAAGGCTCTATCTGTCTTAAAAGCACACTTTACACGTTCAGAAAACTTCGACAGTTCTAATTTCTCAGTTTCGTATCCAAAACGTAAACAAAGCAATTTTTAAAGAAATAATGGATTTTTTTAATTTATTAACTCGACATATTTTATTACTTTAAAAGTTATTTTTAGTGAATACCTATATTGTTCTGTAAAGGGAGAGGCGCCTTCTAATCTTGATGGAGGGTACAGTTTTCTTTAATAAGATTTCTCAAATGTTCAGCCGGTAGACGGAATAAAATAGTGTTTAAAATAAACGGATTGTTTACTCAATTACCGGTATATACTAAAAATAATATTTAAAGTAATAAACATATGACTGTGTTCTGTCTTCATATTCATTACTTGATGTTAGAGTTTCACACTTAAGTAGTGAGATTCGGGTGATGATTGGCTGTGGGTCATTGTCAGGAAATATCGAATATCCAAGTCTGACAGACAAGGAAGTCTCTTAAAGATGACAAATAGAAGCAGAAGCAATAGATCGACCTGTAATGTCCCAGACAAGTGTCAGTAAATTCAAAGAATCAGTCAAACCAATTCGTCTTCGTTTCCGGTTTTCTTACTCGCTGATATCATCCTAGACTTCCGGTTGCCAGGATGCAGATCTCAGTTGGTACGGTTCAGCCGCCAACTGCCAGATTGCGGTACGGGTAAAATGATGAAGAAAGATGGAGGAAAGACATTTTTCTTCATGGTGGCTTTCCAATAAAATTGAAGGAAAGGACTGAAGAAAAAAAAAGAGATATGAACAAATGTAGTTGGAAAAGTAAAAAATAGCAGAAAGAATGAGCGAGTGACTAGGAGAAATAGACACACGCACACACACACACACAGAGGGAGAGATAGATATAAAGAGTGAAAGAGAGAGAGAGGTTAGAAGAAGACAAAGTTATAGAAATCCATTTATCAACTTAACAAGAAGATAAACGTTCGATCTGGTCGATGAAATTTATATAACTTGTATATATATATTGATGCATGTTTCCTTAAATAAAATGGACAAGTTTTTTCTAGTTTTTTTATGTCTTTTCATATCGTCTGATATGCTTAATAACATTACCATTAAAAGAAAGAAAATCACAATATTGATACATATTTTTCAATCCTATCTAAGCTTTCGGCTTACATAAGCCATTATCAAAGATGACAATTACTTTACAATATATTAACTAACACACAGACAAAAAATAATGATAGTCTGTTTATGTTTACATATTACTGTTTATATATATATATATATATATATATATATATATATATATATATATATATATATATATATATATATATTCTTACTCTGTCCTGGACATTGAGTTCTACCTGGATTCTATCTTCTTGGGAATTTATGTATATATATATATATATATATATATATATATATATATATATATATATATATATACTGAAATCATGCAGGCGAGCAATTTAATGAAGTGGAAGTCCGAGGGAGCATTGAGATAAAGAAGAATCCTTTCAAAAGGTAAGCAAAATATTAAGAAACATAAAAGATTCGTTAGAAGTAAAGAAAAGAGTACTGAACTGTTATGTAATATCAATTCTGTTGTATGGCA